ATAAAATTTTAAACCTACTCAAAAGTTCAGCATTACGCTTAAAAAAGAGAATTTTTCCAATAATCTTTGAGCTTAATCGTGTACATTGGAGAATAATCAGATTTCCTGCATTTGAGAAAAGTCTCTCACATGAGACGGAAGTTGCTAATACACATAAATATTTACATGCTAACAATGACAAAATTGAAAACTCAGTTTTATGATTATTCTACCAGTTCCAAGGATTGACATTATAATTATTAATAGAGATAATCTTCAGATATCGTGCTACCTCATCCAAAGGTATATCTTCTTGACCCTATACTCCAAAAATACCTTCAAAAAATGGATTTTGCATTATTTCAGTAACTGTTGACGATGTTTGTTGCACTGGTTGATCATTGCTAGTATTATTAATATGTTGTAAATTCTCAAATTCATTCCTTAATTTTGTTTCAGCCTTTTATCATTCTCTGTTTATAAATGCAGATATTCTTTTGATCCGGAGATCTAAAAGGGTAGCTACCAATCCAACTTCACAAAAATTATATCAATATTTATTCAAAGAGTCATAAATAGCAATTTTAAATTAGTTTTCTATTTGATCAAGATCAGGTGGTGGTGAAGGGGCTTGTAAATAAGTGTCGTCATCATTTTCTAAATCTAATAACATGTCTAGTTTAATTAGCAAATTTTTAAAAATGAATTGTTAACATCACATAACGTGATAATTAATATTTAAAAATCTACTACTGCAGTGGTTAATAATTATAATGATTACTAATTATCAGCAAACTTTAAATATTAATTGTTATATTAGTAAAGTAGAATCGATAAAACCAACAAAACTTACCATCCTCATTGTTGCTATCTTCATCATTATTACTTAATTCTAAACTCATATCTATAAATTTATTTTGTAATTCACAAATGATAGGATATATTAGCGAAAGAGTGGGATACTTGCTTCCTGAAAAGAATTTAGTTGCATATTCTAATGGTTTTAATGCATTTACAATTCTTTTTAACAAATCTTACTCATAATCTTTTAATAGTAACTGAGACAATTTTTGACTGTCTCTTTTATTTTCTTTTCCTTTCTTTAAGGGCAACACAGATGCTAACCATGTTATTGCATCTTTTAATTCCAAGAGTCTTGTTCATGAATAGTAACTAGAGTTTCATCTAGTACAAATATCAGTGATATTATGCAACACTTTTATTGTAAATTCATCAATTTCTCTATCTTCATCCTCTTCTTTTGAACCAATTTCTTCATCTATATCAAGAGCTGATAACAGATTAAATCGAACAATTTCAACATCCTCTTCTCGAATATGATTTTGTTATACAAGATCTATTTGTGCTTCATCAAGCTGCTTGGATTGTTTAACTGATTCTGTAAAAAATTTTACCAATTCTTTGAACCTTTTTACATAAGGACCAATTTTTTTTAGACCCTTCGTCACTGATAATTAAAGAGTATAAGCAGAACAGGGTAACCATTCAATATCTTCCCACATGATAAAAGCTTTTTTCATATTGGAACCATTATCAGTGACTCCTAAAAATAATTTTTTATTTTATTGGTAGATCGTCAGTCATCTAAACAAAATGATCTACAAATACTAATTAAAAATGACACTTTTATTAATTAAAAACTGGTTTTAGAAATATACAGATTTTTATATATGTATGTATGTACGTACGTACGTACATATGTACGTATAGACATATATAGAATCTACGATTGTCTTGCACAAGTTTTTACTTGTGCCAAACACTAGATCTGACTAAGTCAATACAAGATCCCTAAAACACTAAACCCACAATGATTTAGATTCAAGTGCAAACTGTGAAATCTTTATTAATTAAACACGTTTTTTCGCTTAGCTAGGCGTATACTAGACTCGGGTCTATTAAAGAATTTTAAAATTGGTGAAATGTAAGAAATCCAGGTCTTGTATATACACCTTTACGGTACATATTGGTAGGTATGAATTACATTTTAAAAGAACTAATATATTACATAAAAGAGTTATATTTATAACTAACAAAAGCTTGGCTATAACATATATTGATCGTAATATATAAAACTCGGTACTACCCTACACAGTAGAGTACAGTATATCCTCGATATAACAAACCTCAATAGCCACTATAACGAAGAATTTGTCTAGCCGAAATTATGGATTCATTATAGTTAAGTACTTTAATATAACGAAACCCTGATATATCGAACCAAACACCTTAGCTTCAGAGCTTCGTTATATCGAGGTTAGACTGTATATCGATTTTAGAAATTTATTTGCTGAGTATCATCTTGTAAAATCAAGGATCTATTATATGGACCACAAACTCCAGTAGATCAGATGATATAGCTATAAAAAGCGAAGCATTACAGGTGTGATTTTATAAAGATTATATCCTTGTTTTAGAATACGCAAGAATCGTCAAAATCTCTGCTCTATACAGAACGACACGGAATTTATAAAATTTTATCATATATAGCACCAGGAACTTTAAATGGAGGTCATATTCAACAGCACAAGGTATTTGTTCATTTGGCATAATTATGTGGATAATTTTATATGAAAAATCTATATCATATAATCGAATTTTTGGACTACAGCTACAAATAGAAATATGACTAACTGTTATTGAGGACACTTCACAATATTTTATAGATCTAGTGAGAAAA